AATTCTTCTTTTTAAAACAAAACTCTTCATATACCCAATTCTGCAGTTGCTTATATTAACTTCAGCACTTTTATTCAAACACGTAACTGCTTATTTTTTAAATCAGCTTCAGCACTTAAAAGTGCTTTTGAGCACATAATCCTTATCAGTTACTCTAAATCAGCTAAGTCAAACGGGCTCTAAATCATCTACTATATAAGCAATGGACACACTGACAAATACATGATCTATTTAAAATAAAATTTTATTAAATTGAGTAAATGAATAAATAATTATTCCATAAAGAATACTATAACAACACATGATTTTTATAGTATATCCTAACAATGTTGGTGTCGCCATCGTCGTCGTCTTGTCTGCAGAATGTTTTCGATTTTAGTTTTAGAATTGAGAACTTTCCAGTTTATCTACATATGATTCATATTGATAGTAATCTTCAACATAAAAATTTGGAAATTTGATTCATGAAAATTATATATAAAATGGAGTCAACAAATGAGAAAAGGTTTTAATTGGAAAGACACAAGAAAACAAGCAATATGAAGCTTTTGCACTCTCAAGAAAAGAAAGAAAGAAAGAAAAAGTAAAATATAATTTAAAAAATACCATTAAACACGTGATATTCGATTCTAAAAATTTGAAGTTGCAAAAGTACAAAGACAAGACTTCAAGAAGGCTCGATATATCCGATTTTACAGATAACCTAATTAATTAATGACCCAATGCTTCTAAATTTAAGCACAAGTTCCTTGCTTGATTTACGAAATTTCAAAAGGAGATATGGAAATAGGACAGATGGTTGCATTTATTAGGTAACTTTTTGTTAAATATTTAATTTAAATCTTGTGTTCACATCAAGATTTTTTTTCTTTCACCAGAATTATGCGATAATATCAAGACAAAGTAGGGTACAAAAGTTCAAATAAGATTTTAGCCCCATTTACCACTTGCATAAAAAAATATTATTTTAAGATTTCATAATCCTAGGTTTTTAAGGTATCACTTAGTTGGAGTAATATTTTTGAAAATGGAATGTCTCTGCCGGCTTAGTTAAAACATCATAAGTAACTATTGTGGTCTTAGTTATTGAAAGAAAACTTCCTAATGATCTTTTTATGATAAATATTTAATGGAAATTATTTGTAATAATTTAGCTAGCTTTTGTAACCTTTGTATTCAAAATAGCACTACTAGATCGTATTTCGTTTTTATTGTCTCTACGAGAAATAATGATCCCCATGGGACATCTATTTTGTGTAATATCTAGTAGCAATAAATAAAATTCTTTATTTTACTCCCAAGGTATATACAGGATTTCATATGAAGTTTACAGGGTCCGGTGACCCCCCACCCATACACACGGGTTCGCTTCTGTGTGAAGGGGAGTCTTGGCGTAACTGGTAAAGTTGTTGTCATGTGACCAGGAGGTCACGGGTTCAAGCTGCGGAAACTGCCTCTTGCAAAATACAGGGTAAGACGATATACAATAGACCTTTGTTGTCCGACCCTTCCTCAAACCTCGCGCATAGTAGAAGCTTAGTGCACCGAGTTGCCCTTTTTTTTTTAGGGGTTACAAACTCAGAAACTCTTGACAAATTGGTTATTTTAGAAAGGAAAAATCCGTTTTCTTCCCTTGGGAACCAAATCCAAAAACAGAAAACAATCCTGGGGTTGATATTTGGGCTCACTGTTAAAAGCGGGCCTATTCTGTAGCAAACCCGTTTATATTTCCTCTCGTACATTTAAAGTTTCTGTTTGTTTCATTTTTTTATGTCATTATTAATATTTAAGACGTTAAATAATTTTAAAATTTAGAATTTTTTTCAAATCATTCTAATTATAATAAATAGTGATATATGTGTAATTTTTAACTATAAATTGTGTTTTAAAAAATAAATAAATAATCAATGTCCAAATTTAGACCAAAAAGTAGACTACTCAAGTCTTTTATACTGAACCTCGTAAGATGTAGTAATTCTTGAAATTTTCACAAACTAATTTTTTCAAAGCCAAAAACATTTCTAAAACTAGCTCGAACCAAACCTAAAGTTAAATCTTCCAAAGCTAAACCCAAAAACAAAATTAAAAAAAAAAAAAAGTGAATACCTGAGCTAGTGGAAGTAGTGGACGCAAAACTTTGAGTTTATAAGTTTTGCATTCAAGAAAAAACACCTTATTAAGTTCTGCATTAAATTATGGCAAGAATAGTCTAAATGGCACATATACTTATATCACTTTGTCTTCCCTGTCTCTATATTCAATGAAGTTTCATCCAGACATCTGAACTCAGTCAAAATATATATTTTAAACCCCTTCAGCATTACGTGTTGGTCACTCGCCTGATGTGGAAAAAATATCATGTCCGCGTCAGATAAATCAATGCCACATCATTGACTTAATACACCTAAGGGAAAAAGTAATTGGGAAAATCAGGAAAAAAACCTTTTCTTTCTGGAATATAAAGTTCAGAAAGTCACCTGAAGAAGCGATTGAAGATAAAAGTTCCGAGCTTGAAGAAATTCTTAAGAAGAAAAGCTAGGATCATTGTTGTTGCATTGGCTAAAACGTTGAAGAGATTAAAGGAAAGTCAGTCGCATTTTGGGGATCTTTTTGCTGGGAATAATATGTTTATGCAGGTCACTTCGACTCCAGTGGAAATTTGTGCCAATTACAACAACAAATCTCCAAATCTGAAGACCATCGCCGACCCTGATTACCTCCAAAATAGATTTTCATCATTAGGTTCGGTTAGGTATTGTAATTAGTTATCATTTGTTTTAGCATCCATTTAATTAGCTCGCACGCCTCGCTGGAAAATAATCACTAGCGGACTTCACCACCTATTTATTCACTCACCGGACTCCTTTAGAAAACCCATGACCATAATGGACTGATGAATACAAAAATTACTTGGTCATAGCTTCTTGATATCTTTAAAAACTTTAATCCCATTAACAGATATGTTTATTTAGCTTCCCTAAAATAAAATTCTTTCTCCTTTTTATACTATTAATTTTGTTGCTAACTATCCACAAAGGGTAGGTGAGGGGGGTTACGATAGGAAAGAGGGAGGGGAGAAGAAGACGGGGAGAAACGGGGTGAAATAAGGCCGAAGGGTTGGGAAACGGGTAGAGATACTTGGGTTGGGAAATTAATTTACTCTTTTCTTTTTTTATGGTTATTTTTTATTAATTTTAATATTTTTAAATCAAAATAAATATATCCACTCTCCTTTTTAGAGCGTGTAACCACTCATTTTTCTGACTCGGCAAAATAAATGACACATAAGCTCAGTCAATGGTCAGAGGGTTTTAAAATAAATGTTTTGATTGAGTTCAGGTGTCTGGATGAAACTTCATTGAATATAGGGACCGGGATGACAAAGTGACACAAGTGTAGGTTCCATTTAGGCTATTGTGCCTTAAATTATTTATACGAGATTTCGGCCAATCTACTCGTTCTATAGAATCGATAACTAGAACTCTAGTTCTACAATCAGACCTCTCTATAACAACATCCCTATATAACAACACTCCATTATAAAAGCCAAGCTTTTTCGGAACCAATTTTTATGTTATGTTATAATATATGTTCTATATAACAGCACTTCGCTATAACATCCAAAAATATTCGGAACAAACGAAGTTGTTATAGAGAGGTTTGACTGTACCTCTAAGTGAAAGGTAACAAATATATGATCAAATAGTAAAAAATACATGCAAACATACCCAAATATCATAGTCCCTCTATTCCAATTTATGTGAACTTGTTTGACTGAGCACAGAGTTTAAGAAAAAAATGAAGACTTTTGAAATTTGTGGTCCTAAACAAGTCAAAAAGGAGCCCAGAGTATTTTTGTGGTTATAAAAGTTTCCCATTAAGAGTAGAATTGTACGTTCAAGCTAAGTTGTTACCAAATTTAGAAAGGGATCATTTTTTTTTGGAACGGACCAAAAAGGAAATATGTTCATATAAACTGAAATAGATGGAGTAGTCATTACAAAAATGAGAAAAAAAAAGAAAGAAAAGGGATAGAACATTATTAAGGAAAACAGAGGACCGGCTACTAGGGGTGTTCACGGGTTCGGTTTGGTCGGTTTTTGATTAAAATCAAAACCAAACCAATTTAATCGGTTTTTAAAATTTTAAAATCAAAATCAAACCAAATTAAATATAAACCATCGGTTTGATTGTTGTTGGTTTGGTTCGGTTTTTCGATTTTTAGTAAGCTAATGATAAGTCGATAATAGTAAAACAACGCTAGACAATAATCTGAAAATAATTTGTTAAATTTATGCTTTTTTATATATTTCTTTTAGAACTGAAAGTTTATTTACCTGTTTATATGAAAAGAATGAACAAAAAACAAACTAAAAGTTTGCTTTCTCAAGCTTTAGCCATTGTTGTCTTGCAATTTGAATTTGCTTTCTTTACTCTTGTGGTAATTTTTTTTTAACTATTCTGTTAGGCAAAAGTATGCGCGGAGGGTTAGAGAATTAAAGTCTCTTAATGAAAAGAAAATTGATCGAGTCCTATTGTTTTGGACTTAGACATTCTTTTAAGATATAAAACGATAAATCAAAATTCAAAATAACCATTAAAATGCATACAATATTTAAAATTATTTACAAAAAGATATTATATTGCATATAAATAATTATTAAATTTTGTATATAATTAGTCGGTTTGGTTCGGTTTATTTTTCGATTTTTTAAAATAGAACCAAAACCAAACCAAATATTATCGATTTTTAAAATTTAAAACCAAAACCAATCCAAATCAACAAAAATATCAGTTTACTTAATCGGTTTGGTTCGATTTTCGGTTTGGATCGGTTTTCCGACACCCCTGCCGGCTACCCTGGTTAAGATACCCCTTCCATTTGGATGAGAGACAGCAACAAAAATAAAAAGAGATAATATTAGTTTTTCCCAAATATAGGAGGAAGCAAAGCCCCTCACACGTCCCATCTTCTGTACTTTCTTTAAAAATAAACAAACGAAATACTCTACTCTACTACTATTACACAAACATCTGTCCCCCCTTTATCTTTCCAATTTCTACAAATACACACACACAAAAATATCAATGGAATTTACGCAGTCCAACATGATTCCTTCCTCTTCTTCTTCTTCTCTATATATATAAGTACTACTCATTTACCCACCACAACATAAAAACATAACAAACACTCCTTTTTTTACTTCTCTATTTCCTCTCTTCTTCTTTACAAACAAGAAATGTAAGCATCAGCTTAATTTCTATGGCTGATCAGCTTCTTCTTATTGAATTTTTTCTGATCTGATATACAACTTATAAGTGTGTTTTTTTTCTCCTAAAGTTCTTATCAAGATTTTTTTAATAATTCTTGACAAATGTTTGAACATATATAAAAGAAAAATATAGACTTTTTTTAATTGTTTGAGTTGAATATAAGTTATGTAAGAACCCCATCTCTATAACTGGAAGATTTTTGAGTAAAAATATATAGTTGTGTTTTTTTAGTAAGAATTTTGTGATATACGTTGAAATTGTTAAGAGAATGATGTTGGATCTCAATCTAAGTGCAATTTACGATGAGAAAGTTCCAGAAGGTTCCGTTGCCGATGAATCGGGAACCTCGAATTCATCGGCGAGGAATGCGGAAGCTTCCAGTAGTGCCGGAGACGACGACACGTGCTCCACACGCGCCGGTGACATGTTTGCTTTCAATTTCGACATCCTTAAAGTTGGTGGAGCTGAAACTAGCAGGAGTTGCAGCAACAATGATGATGACCAAGAAGGATATGATGAGAATCGGAGGGTAACTCAGTCCGAGTTCGTGACTCGGCAATTGTTCCCTCTCGATGGGTCCCACACTTCTCGGAAACCTGATTGGGTGGATCTATCGTTTGATCCACCCAATACTGTTAGTTTCCGAGAGGCAGAAATAGTACGTGCGCAACAACAGTACCAACAACAGCAACAACAACAACCGCAACAAGTTAAGAAGAGTAGGAGGGGGCCTCGGTCTAGAAGTTCACAGTACAGAGGTGTTACTTTTTACAGAAGAACTGGTAGATGGGAATCACACATTTGGTATGTGTGCTTTACCTAACAAATGTTCATTTTCTTAATTTTTGTTTAATTTATTGAGATTAAAATTAATTATATAGTTATTATTATTTTTTTGCAGGGATTGTGGCAAGCAAGTTTATTTGGGTATGTACTATGTAATGTTTTAATTCTAATTGTTACCTAATTGGTTGTTGATTGGTTGATCTTTTTAAGTTTAGATATGATATTTCTATTTTGGGAAATTTTCTGATTGGTTTTGTTGTTGGCTTATGTTTAGGTGGATTTGACACTGCTCATGCAGCTGCTAGGTATAAAATAGAAATTTATTATATTCAAGTTTATCGATATTTTGGAGGGGAGCCTTGGAGCAACTGAAAAGTTGTTTCCTCGTGACCTATAGGTCACGAGTTCGAGTCGTGAAAGTAGCCACTAATGTTTTCATTAGGGTAGGCTGTCTAATCACACCCCTGGGATGCGGCCCTTCCCCGGACCCTCCGTGAATGCGGGGGCTGCTCTTTTAAGTTCATCGATATTTTGTTAGATTATTTTAGTTTTATGTTTTTTCCGAAGTTAAATCTCTGCTTGAATTGATGAAGTTTGTCTTGATGCATTTTCATGGTATCAGAGCTTATGATAGAGCTGCAATTAAGTTCCGGGGTGTTGATGCTGATATAAACTTTAACCTAAGTGATTACGAGGAAGATATGAAGCAGGTTAGAAATGTAAAAGATTTCCATAAGTGCTAAAACATGTTAAGCTCAATGTTAAATATGAATTTTGCATTGTCTTGATTTTGGGTTTAATTTCCTTGGGAACTAATGTAGATGAAAAGCCTGAGTAAAGAAGAATTCGTCCACGTGCTGCGACGCCAGAGCACTGGATTCTCGAGAGGTAGCTCGAAATACAGAGGAGTAACGTTGCACAAATGCGGAAGATGGGAGGCTCGGATGGGGCAGTTCCTTGGCAAAAAGTAAGATACTTCATTCATTGAAATTGTTGTGGAAATAGAAACTTTATTCATTAAAATAGTCGTAGGAGTAGTCTCAATTTAGTGTTGCTCAGATCTTCCAAAAATGTCGCCATACTCGTGTCAAATCCTCCAAAAATGCATAATATCTGAAGAATCTGATACAGGTATGGTGACATTTTTGGAAGATCCGAGCAAGATAAGGAGTAGATTACATCTTGAGAATGTGTAGTTGGTCTGAATTGGGAAACAAAATCTGCTATACATGCCTATTTGAGAAAGGAAACTACTAGGACTACATATTCATGGTGGGGATTACATTGCAGGTATATATATCTTGGACTATTCGACAGTGAAGTAGAAGCCGCAAGGTCCTAATGATCATGAATTTTTACCCTCTCCTTGATAATGAATTTATTACCCTTAAATTCTCAACCAAAATGTTGTATCGACCAACCGGTATCTCCCTTTTTATTTTCTGCAAATTAGGGCGTACGATAAGGCGGCTATCAAATGTAATGGAAGAGAAGCTGTTACCAACTTTGAGCCAAGTACGTATGAAGGGGAAACAATCTCTGATCCTCAGAGTGCAGGTTTGTTCATAAGCGCTCACTATATTCGCAAATAATGTTATCCAATACCATGATCACTAGTTTTTCTATATCTTCCCTGTTACATTTATATTATGCAAATATAATGCAGGTGGCCAACAGGATCTTGATCTGAACTTAGGGATCGCAACTTCTTCTCCGAAGGAAAATGAAAGGATGGGGGGTTTCCAGTATCATCCATATGACATGCAAGATGCATCAAAATCACAGGTACAAACAGAGTAATTATGTAGAAATGTTACAGCAGATTGAATTAAATGGAACTCTTATTTGGCTAATTGAGATGGATGTTCTATTCTGTTCAAAACTTTGATATGATACGTTGTACAATAACAACAACAAACCCAGTATAATCCCACAAGTGGGGGTCTGGGGAGGGTAGTGTGTACGCAAACCTTACCCCCATCTTGAAGGTAGAGAGGTTGTTTCCAATAGACCCTCGCTCACGAAAGACGAAAAGATAAGCAGTAGCACTAAGTAGTAACAACAATAAGATAGCAAGAAAACGAAGCGAAAGGAACAAGAAGTAATACTAAAAAGAATCTAACAATAATAGAATTCAAGACTAACACTAAAATTCCTGACTACCTACTAACTGTCTACCTTTATTCTCGACCTCCACAACTTTCTATCAAGATTTATGTCTTCGGTAAGCTGAAGTAACGCCGATATGATGCGCTGCGAAAATAATTAATCTTGATTTTGTTTGGATTGTACTGATAATCAGTTATTTTGTGCTTTTAAAACACAGATGGACAAATCTGCACCAGCAATTGTTGGTAGTTCACATTTTAAGGCACAACCAGTGACATCAGAACAGGCTCACTTGTGGAATGGAGTATATTCCAACTTCTTTCCCAGCTACGAGGTATTTTCTGCTGTTTCCCCTATTAGTTATATCAGTTGAAACTTATGGTAAAAACAATGGGCATATGCCTGCAATCTGCAATACTGCAATTGCCCTTGTTTCCTACATTACAGGATTGTTTCACTGTGTACGAGAGAAATCAAATACAAGTATAGGTTCTGATTCTTGTGAACTCTACTGAAAAAAGGGCCAGGGCAGCTCGGTGCACAAAGCATCCCACGTTCATGCAGGGTTCAGGGAAGTGCCACACTCCAGTGGGATGTGATGTAGGCAGCCTACCCTGATGCAAGCATCAGTGGCTGAACACATGACCTATAGGTCACACGGAAACACCTTGACTTATAGAGTTCTTGTGAACTTTACTACTCAATTTATGTTTACAGATTCTTGTAAACATAACAGGAAATGTATGAATAGTTTTTTTTGTGATATGGGCCTTTGCTTCAGGTCTTTCTTCCTTTGGGTTGTTTCCAGTTATACATATGTTGGCATTGTATCTTTATAGGATCAGTGCAATTTAACTTATTATAGCAGATTACTTATCATTTACTCTAGGTTACTAATTAATATTCTTGCTAATTAACTAAATGGCTTAGCAGGAAAGAGCGTCCGGGAAGAGAATAGATGTAGGTTCCTCCCAAGGGCGCCCAAACTGGGCGTTGCAAATGCATGGTCAGGTCGGAACAACGCCAATGTCAATGTTTACTGCTGCAGCATCATCAGGATTCTCAACTCCGGCTACCACTGCTTCGGCCTCTCCAATGTCTGGTCCCAACCCGAATACGAATACTCCCAATCTTCCCTTTGCTTCATATTCTACACCATCAACAAATACCACTCAATACTATTACCAGATCAGGCCGCCGCTACCACCTCCATAACGTGTTTTTTCCACCATTGCTAGTAATATAGTTAGACATATCTCACTGATTCTATTTGTATGATTTGAGTGTCATCAATTCATTAACATGTTGATTCTAAATTGAGTTCTTTTTCAACTTGTAAAATTTTGTAAGGTGAAGATTCAATATTTCCATTATTACTTTTGAGCTTCCCTTGCTTATTATTGTTATCTTTGGTGCAAAAGATGCTCAATTATATCACTCAAATATTTAATAGGGATTGTACATATGCATATAATATTAGGAGTCTGTTTGATAGGGTGTATAAGAATAGTACTGAATAGAGTATAAGAATAATGTTGGAATTCTTTTTTATCTTTGTTTGGTTTAGTGTACTAAAATAACATACACTGCACCGGGGTGTATACATATTTATCCATGTATTAAAGACCATTATCGCTAATGTCATGGTTTGCGACGTATTATTTATACGTGGGATAATACCAAATAGGATTAATTATTGAAAAATATTACCAAACAATGGATTAATACATCCCACCAAACGACCCCTTACTATATATAGAGCAAGAAAATCATTCATGGGGCCTAACTCACCTAAATAACGCTTGAAAATGACTTGTTTCTTGTCATTATGTGTTTCTCTTATCAAATTATTATTTCAACATTTAACAAGCCTCATTATTTTTCTAGTTTCACATCATAGTATTTGTCAATTTATGCAATTATTCAGAGTTGTCTCAGTCTGCCATTAAAGGCCTATGTTTTGTTTGTTTCTTGGTACGGATATTTCTGTAAAAACACATTCCACATGGTTGTTATTGTGAAAGGCTTAAGAATAGTATTTTTCAAGAGGGGTTAAATTGATTGACTACATTGTTAATTGAAAAGGAACATAAGAAGAAATTGATTTAAAAAAATTAATTTACGAGTTTGCAACTAAAAAAAATAGAAGTATGTTTCAAATAATAGATAAAAATTTATTAAATAAGTTTGATGTATTTTATTAAGGTTTAATTTTAGATCACTTATTCCATTGAACTGCCCCTATCCTACAACTTGTCTTTGCAGTTCTAGAAAACAATTCACTTAAAAGTTTGGGAAAATGACACTGTATAGTCGCTCTCAAAATCATAGCCGAAAAATGTATATTTTTGTATATATATATATGTCATATACAAAAATTATACAAATTATATTTTTTTTTGACTATTGAATATAAATAATTTTTGGCATGGATTAAGATTTCCTATAACCTAGCCAGCGACTTTTTGACTAATATGACATTTTTTTGTTTCAAATTTTAACTACACATAAAGGGAGGAAATTATAAGATGGAAAATTGAAGCATGCCTTTTAATAGCTAATCAAGCTAGATTAGCTATTATGATTTCCATGATTAATGTGACATTTTATCATTTTACACCTATTTTTATTTTGGTTTTGTACTTTCCTTTAGGTAGATATCCAAAGCATGCATGCAAAAATAATTACGACACTTCCAAAATAGATAGTCAATAATCAAAACTGATTTCTCCAAAAAGATAAAGAAAAAGAAAAAGAAATGGAGAGGGGGATGCCACGTTATTCTTGACGTATATTAATCATAAAATATAGTAGTACGAAGATTAAAGGGGACATCATCATAAATCTGTTGAATCAGTAGTCGTACCTCTCCCTTTATTTCAGCTCTTTATTTCTCTGTCTCTTGAAATACTCTTATGGTAGAAATTACAATGTATATCCTTTTGTTGTTTTTTTTCTTCTTAATTATGCAGCCTATAATTAGTGGCAGATCAAGAAATTAAAAATCATGGGTGCTAGCTGACAAAAATTAGGAACGAAGAGGAGAAGGAGTTTAATTATGGGTGCTCATTTAATATTATATATATATATATATATAATTGCCTAAGCAAATTTACTAAATCTGGTCAATGGTAATGAACATCCGCAATTGTCCAAGCAGATCTGCCACTGCCTATAATTAGGTAGAAATAAGACTAGGTAGCCATTTTAAAGGGCTGCTATTTAGGAATTAGCCAGTGCATTCTTAATTTCAGTTTTTCAGTTCAATTCTTAGGACAAAAATGTTATGAGTTGTCCTGACGTACAGATTTTTAGCTTAAAACTTCAGAACAAAATAAGTTTTGGCTAATCCCGAAATAGCATCCCTGAGAATTTAAAGCATTAATTTATGCTTTCTCAATTGTATTTTATGTGATTCAATTCTTTATTAATTTATTTTTAAAAAGTAATATATTTTATATTTGAACATAATTTATCTTTAAATCTTCAATTTTACTTTAATGGCTGATTTTATAGCAATCAAAATCTCATAGAATATTTAAGATTACAAATTTCACAAAATATTTTTAAAAAAATTCGTGTTCAATCAAATTATATAATAAATAAATTTATCCAATCTGACTTTTGAAACTCTTTTCTCATATTTCTCGATCGTCGTCTTAGGCGTAGGTAATCTTTTGAATTCGTAACCCGTCATATTTGGCGGGAATTGCCGGACCTTATTCAGGCAATGGTGCGATCAACACTCGCTCGCAAATTCTAAGAAGTGATAAATGCAGTGATAAGTTGATTTAGAAAGAGGAAGAGGCACCCTAAGGAAGTAGAGTGCGGTGAAAGAATTTCATCGTTCAGTGCGTCAAGTTAATCCGTAACCACAATTACAATTTACAAGTATAGAAATAGAGCTCATTTGGATGGACTTATTTTAAATGACTTTTAAACAAAAATAACTTTTAAGACATAAGTTAGGAATTCTTACTTTTGACTTTTGGCTTGTTTTTGTCATTTTAACTTAAAAACAAGTGTTTAAAAATTTTTCTTTTACTTTATTCAAATACTACAAACTTAAAAATACTTAAAATAAGACAATTCAAGGGGGGTCTTAGATGGAAGCAGATATTTTTACAAAGTACCATGTATGATACAAGTAGTACAAAATGAAAAGGTACTGCTAGCATGTACCATAAATTAGGCCTGTTTCTCACTTTACATGGGAGATAGATGCAATGCATATGTACTTTGCACTATTCTCACACAATCAATTGCTCTTTCCTTTTTTCTTTTTGCAATTTCTTAATTTTGCTCCACTTAGGTTTCAGTAGTTGCTTTGTCCTATGTTAATATTCCTCAAACATAGCCCTTTTTTTTCACTACACTCCTATCCTATGATGATTGAATTACAAGTATAGGAGGACAGAGACCTATGACCTAGATTTATATATTATGGCTTTTTCTACACGTGGTGGGTCCATAATTCATACCGTATGGGCCTATTTGTCACTTTTTGTTGGATTTAGGTCAGATTTTGTTCTACTAAGTGCTAGGGTGTTTTATGTTGGTTGGTGGGCCTTCAATTTTGATTTTATTTCTTTTTCGCAATAAAGAAATATTAAAACTCATGGGGCATTTATATTTATACCCGCTTTTTGGATCACGTTTTAACTTGTGTCGGCTTTACAAAAAAAATTGCAAGCGTACCCACTTTTTCGCGTAACTTCAACATACAGGGTTGAAGTAGCAAAGGCAATCACGTAAAACTTCAGCATTCTAGTAGACGGGTCTGAAATAGCAAGTGTGCTTCAGCTCTAGAGCTTAAGTTTTTGTTTTGTAACTGGCGAAGTTTTTGTTTTGTAATTGTGTTTTTGTAACTGGTGAAAGTTTTTATTTTGTAACTGGCAAACTTCAGCTCTAGAGCTAAAGTTTTTGTTTTGTAGTTGGCGAACTTCAACTTTAGAGCTGAAGTTTTTCTGATTTGCTCTTGTCTCACACATGAAAATGCTAGTCTGATTTTTTCTACGGAACTACTGTGTCGTACAAGTATTATTTAAGTATTTATTGTTGTCGTAATATTTTATACAATACATTAATGACCGGAGACAGAAAGACATGAAAGTTGCCTACCTTCCAGGCGTTCATGGTTTGAATTTTGTTCATCATTTTGAGTGATTGATTGTTCATCCAAGCTTTTTCCTTGTAATATTTTACTCTTCTCCAATGTGAGTTCATCCATGGCTGTCGAAAATCTTTTTTTAGTTTGTATTTCAGTTGAAACTCTTAACGTCTGAAAATCAAAGTAGTTGGCATGAAAACAAAACTTTGTATAACAATAATCTCTGAATTATCCCAAAATAAAAAAAGAAGAAGAAGAAAACGAATATTTATAGCTTGACTTATAACTTAACTATGGTTGTTATAATGTTGAGGTTAATTGGCTAGACTAGTTGTGGTTGAGGTTTGGACTAAGTAGGAGTGGACACTAGATATGACCTTTAAGGAGACACAGAATGTCCAAAGGATATGTGAAGATGAAGACATTTACTGTTTGTTAATAGTAAGCCAACTCATCTCTCATCCATCTTTACACTGTTCACTAACAGTGTCAACTTTGTCCTCATCTTAAGGTACAAAATAGGTTGTGCGCGGTGAAAAATATTTTCTTTCTTTATACTAGCAGCTAAACAGGGCCGGCTCTAATGTTGTTCCAAGTAAGATTTTTGTCTTAGGCTTCAAAATTTTATTTTTTAGAAATAATAGGTTTATAGGTATTTTTAAAAAAAAAATATTTACGTACTGTTATACTTTTCATATAAAAGTGGAATTTTTTTATAACAATTGTCTCAGATTAACAATGTCTCAAGGTAAATATAATGGGTTGGGTATATTATCAATTGAAAAGGAATATAGGAAATTAATTATAAAAATTATTA